CTATGACTTTGCCTTGGTCAGGTTGTACTGACTTCCCCAGTATTGTGTACTGTCTTACCCTTCACCAAAGTTACCACTTATCTATTGTCTAGTTAGTGTTTTTCCTTCCCCACCCCTCCCCTCCCTTGTAACCATCAAAGATTGTTTCTTTCTGTGTTAACCTTTATGTGAGTTTTTATAATAGTGGTTTCATACAGTTATTTGTCCTTTTGTGATTGACTTATTGCAGTCAGCATAATGCCCTCTAGATTCATTCACGTTGTGAGATGTTTCGCAGATTCCTCTTTGTTCTTTACTGTTGCATAGTATTCCTTTGTGTGTACGTATCATAGTTTGTTTATCCATTCATTTGTTGATGGACACTTCGGTTGTTTCTGTCTTTCTGGTATTGTGAATAACGCTGCAGTGAACATGGGTGTGCTTATCTACTCCTGTGGTGGCTCTTATTTCTCTAGGATATATTCCTAGGAGTGGGATTGCTGGATCGTAGAGTATTTTTCTAGCTTTTTAAGGAAGCACCATACTGTGTTCCAAAATGATTATAACCATGGTGCATTCCCACCAGCAGTGTGTAAGAGTTCCAATCTCCCCGCAGCCCTTCCAACATTTGTTATTTTGTTTTTTTTGATTCGTACCAGTCATGTTGGAGTGAGATGGTACTGCATTGTAGTTTTGATTTGCATTTCTCTAATGGCTAGTGATTGTGAGCATTTCCTCATGTGTCTGTTAGCCACCTGAATGTCTTCTTTGGTGGAGTGTCTGTTCATATCCTTGGCCCATTTTTCAATTGGATTATTTGTCTTTTTGTTGTAGAGGTGCTCTAGGTGTTTCTGATAGTGTGAGGGAGTTTGGGAACCGCATACCTTGAGAAACCCATCCAGCAGAGAAGCCCTAGAGCCCCCGCCTGAGGGAGTCACCACCTTGAACAGTGTCTCTCCAAGGGTGGTCTAAAGCTCCTGCATGGGATTCACCAGAGAGCTTGTTAAAATGCACGTTCCTGGCATTTTTGTTCTTATGTTTGAGATCCTGACCTTGAAGGCCAGAGCCCAGGGTGTGCAGCTACATTTGTTGACACAGATTTTAAAAAGCTGTTCTAGGGGCGTGGCAGTGAGGGCTCTCTCCCGAGTTGATGAAGTTCCTGTTGAAAGGAAGGTTACTGACCTTGTGCAAGGAGCTCTTGGTGTTTCCTGGGCCCCATTTCCCTCTGAAAACCAGACAAGGCTGAGTGACTCCCTCATTGCTTCCTTTAGGGTAGTCACTTTTTTGTAAAATATTTTATTAATTTTTGGTGAAAGTATACACAGTAAAATAGGTTCCCATTCAACAATTTCTACACATAATGTTCAGTAACATTGGTTACATTCTTCACATTGTGTCAGCATTCTCATTTCCATTCTAGTTGTTCCACTTTGGGAAGTCACTTTTACCTTCCTTCTCTGCCCTAGCCAGATTGGTCAAACTGACCCATAGTTCTTTGTCTTCCCCATCCCAAATTCTACTGCTGCTGCTTTTGGGCTCCCTGAGTCTTTTTCTTCTGGTCACTGGCCTTTTGTACCAAATTAGATCTTAGACCCTCATTGCCAAGCCTCTCCTTCCCCTTGTGTCCTGAGATCTTTTCTCTCTTGTTAGTAGAAGGGGCTGGTTGATGAGGGAGAATCGGAAAGTAGCCCAGCCTCAGCAAAGATTCACAAATGTGACAGACTAAAGGCATTTCTCTCGTTTTTGCTTTCAAGGTTTAATAACCAATCTTGACCCTGATACCTAGTTTAATGGCCAGTAAAACGTCTTCATGACAATCTATTTAAGTTCACTAGAATTTCACCTGTTTTCCAGGTATCTGGATATATCGGGTAATTTGAACCTACATCAATCTGGAGTTGGTTTTGTTCCTACTGGTCCTTTATGATGCAGATTTTGCTATAAATTCTAGATCTCATTAAAAATACAAAAACTCCGCTTCCTTGTTGAAGAGACAGGGTAGTAGGAAATTCTCAGCATACCCTCTCCCCAGAACTAATACGGGTCAGAATTGCCCAGAATCATCACTTACCTTCCTCTGCTGATCCTCTGGAGAAATGCTGCTAAGACAAGATAGGGCCAGAAGGTGGGAGCAGAAGCTTAGCCACCAGAGGCCAACTGTGACAGGTGGATGGCCCATTACTTTGCCCACACTTTAGAATCATTTCAGGAGATAGTAAACCATTCTAGTTAAGAGCATGAGATTTGGAACCAGCTACCTTGGTTTTGAATTCTGGATTCACCACTTACTAAATGACCTTGGACAAATTGCATAAAGTTTCTGTGCTTCAGTTTCCTCATCTGTAAAAGGGGATTGTAGTAGCACCTACCTCATAGGATTGTTATAGGGATTAAGCAAGATAATGTATGTGAATACTGTCCAGGGCTAAGTACTCAGTAATATAAGCTATTCTTGGGTCTCCAGGAACCGGAGTTTATTGAAGGAAGAAGACCCTGCCGTCCTTATCTCTGAAGTCCTGAGGAGGAAGTTTGCTCTGAAGGAAGAAGATATCACTAGAAAAGGAAACTGACAGTACCCAGCTCTGCAAACTCAGTCTCACGCTCCTGGAATTCCTTCAACAGCTGCCTTCCTCACCGCAGATGTTTCTGCCTCTCAATTTGAAATCTTCTGCAAGTCTTACCAACAAGCTAGCTAGAGCACGGACTGAAAGAGAGGAGCTGCAACTTCCCACCTTAGCAGAAGCTAAGGCCTGTGTTTTGAGCTGAGACATTTGTTACAGGTAATTGGGGAGGTTGGGGTGTCTCAGTTTAAAGGGTGAGATAGAAGTTTCTGGTTTTTCCTTGCCCCTGTGTGAAAATAGGTCCTAAATGGATGACTGACTTCATTTCATTAGACGCCCCCATAACTGTTTTCACGGGACACTTCGTGCCCAGCTGTCACTCACTCTCAGCTGCTTCCTTGTGGCAGAGCAGGGCTGAGGGGAGGAAGCTGTAAATGTTTATGTACATGTCCATAGGACAGGGAAAATCTTATGCTGCTCCATCATAAACCACCAATGCCCAGCAATCACCCTCTGCCCTTCCCTGTCCAACACCTAGATAGAGAGGTCAGGCCGCTGGACCAGCTGAGACTGAGCTGCTGCTGGGAGGCCTGGGCTGTGTTTTTCTTACACATATTTTGTAATACTGTACAACCAAATCTACCCTCCAAGGCCCTGGGGCCTCATCAGCTCCACTGATTGAAAACTCTTTCTCTTCCATGGACTTTTCGTTTAAGCCCAGTAGGAAAGAGAAATGAGGAGGGGAAAGAGCGCACCGCCCCTTCTAGGCCCTTGACTGCTCCTTTGGGCTGGGCCATGGTTTGTACCTACCACACCACTGCATGACTCAGACACCCTCAGGTCCCTTTCTCTGTGGTATGTATACTGTGTTTGGGTTGAAGCACTATTTGACATTAAAGGATTTGGAGAGAGATTGCATTTGCTTTGTCCATCTCCGAGTTGTGATCACCCCGTATCCCTCAGGGGTAGTTGTCCTGTTAGTTTGAAGGTACATGAACCTTCTTAAACAGGCTCCTGACTTCTCTTAAAAGTCCTGCCCCTTAGAAAACTTCTCTAGTGAGTTTCTTCTCTCTTTCTGGAATGATTGTGCCCTGTGCGGGCCTTCAAACTGGTTTGTTGCCTTCGAACCCCTGCTGAGAATTTGCATTTCTAACAAGTTCCCAGGTGATGCTAATGCTACTGGTTATGGACCAGTTCTGAGAACCAGTAGTAGAGCAGTGGTTCTCAAAATTTACTATACCTAAGAATCACCTGGGGATCTTGTTAAAATGTAGAGTCTGATTCAGTATATCTGGGGTGGAAATGCAAATTCTTAGCAGGAGTTTGAACCAGTTTGAAGCCCTGGCGCTACACTCTTAAAAGCAGTTCCATCTTACAACTTGGAAACTTTCCCTCTAGAGGCTGTATAAGCCTTTTACGTACCACACCTGCATTATGGGAAACTGCCCCCTGGTGGATGATGCCTTGAGCAGAACACAGGTCAAATCAGGCTAGTGTTCATATTTGACCCATGGCAATGACAGTATATGTGTATTATTAAAAAGAAGTCACTTGTTCAAAATAAAATTAGTAATGTTTTCATTACCATCAGCCAGCTTTATAAGCAGTCATTTACTTAGATTCAAAGTTTTACAAAGGGGGTTTCCTCCCACTTTGTGAAAGAAAAAAGTATTATAGTCACATCTAGATTGGTATATAGCTAAGGCTTTTTTTTTTTGTGGCGCCCTGGTGGTGCAGTGGCTAAATGCTGGGCTGCTAACCAGGTCAGCAGCTCAAACCCACCAGCTGCTCCACGGGAGAAAGATGTGGCAGTCTGCTTCCATAAAGACTTACAGCCTTGGAAACCCTATGGGGCAGCTCTGCTCTGTCCTTTAGGGTCTCCATGAGTTGGACTCGACTTGACAGTAACGGGTTTGGTTTGCATTAAGGCTTTAGGGAGAGATGTTTAAATATCGAGTATATAAATTTAAAATGCTGTAGAGTTACCACAAAAATAACATAAAATTCCCACCGTCCTACCTGTTTCTAGCCCCTCCTGCACAGCTGGGTCAGGGAGATTTGCCTTATCACTTAAAAAGGTGTCAAAAATAATGGTCCCAAGTGTAGGTTTAGTGGGTAAGATTATAGCCAGAGAGTAAAAGCACACATCCATAAAAAACAGGGTCCCAGTCAGGTATCTGGAAGGTGTGGCTCTTTAATGCGGGGATAAGTACTTAGACCCTGCCTCCTAAGTGCTCATCATAGACTTGTTCAGGGCACTTACTAGCCTCCTTCCTCAGGGAAGCTCAGGGAAAGGCAGATGCCAGTCACACTGTGCCAACAAGTGAAACCACCTGCTTTATTTACATAAAGAAAATGCTCAGTAAGGACAAGTTTCATCCTGTGCCCTCCTTCCCAAAAGATTGTTTCCTAAATATCTACCATTTCAAGGTGCTTTTACAACCAAATCCTCAAAGGCATTCAGAATTGGTGCCTGATAACTTGATTACCTTCAGAGTCCTGGGTAAAGAGCCAATCAGGCTGCAGATTTAACTGAGCAGGCCCATCCTGGCACTGAGCCTGAGGGCCGTTAGGAGCCTGCCTTAAACCCTGATTCTGGTCGTTGGTTACATCTCGGAAAGGGGCTCTAGAGTTGTGGGCAATGACCCGCTGGCCCTGAGAATCGTCAGTGAAGAGCTGACTCCAGGAGTCCTTGTCTCTCGTTTCACTGTCCCAGGAAAACCGAGGAACAGGACAAGGGCTCTGCTTTGCTGACACTGTGTTTTCTCCATTCCAGGAATCCCTGTAAGTATGAAGGGGAGGGGCCTGCCGGTTTTCTTTGGCAGACACTTTCCTTTCCAGTTTAGTCTTGTCCAAGGGTTGATGGCATTTGCCCCCAGGCAGTTTCCGGTTTCTCTCAATGTCCTGATAGTTCTTTTTCTTAGATCCGTGAAGCCATTCCCTATTCCCAGAGGAATCTTCCTCTCCCTCTCCCTCCTTTTGGTCCAGCAAATAAGAACTTTGCAAGTCCTGAGTGAAGGAAAAAGCCAGTGAGGCTTTACTTTCTCCAGGACAGACTGGGGTGTCAGGCAAAGATAGCACAGTCAGAAATGGGGTTTCCACTCTGTGGTGGCCACAAGTCTGGAGGGACTGAGGACAAAGTCCAGTGTCCCAGATGTCTGCAGGGGTTGAAGTGGCTAAAGGGGATGCCACACAATCATCCCGCACGTCCTGGAGAAAATGCTCTAGCTGGGTTGCATCTTTCTTAGATTCTTTGTTGGTCTGACTTTCCGTATGAGAGGAAACACTCGTCTGGTCACCATCACTGGTCTTTCCTAATAAAAGTGAACAATTATTATTATTTTTTTAAATAATTTAAAGTAACAATCATAAACCCATTACATGTGAACAGTGAACTGTTATTCTACAGATAAATTCAGTTGGCTTTTTCTGAAATCAGTTACTACCTAGTGTTGAGGTTTTGTTTAGACTCTTTAAACAACTTCCTAGTGGATCTTCCCATTTTCAATCTCCCTATTCTCTCCCAGTTTCCCTACTCAAATACTTGGATGCTTCCCATGATATACTTTCCGCTGAATTTCCACATGTGGGGTTTGTTAAATATAGGGTACCGTTAGTTTTGCTTTTTATTTAACATGGCTTGTACTAAATAGTAGTCCTGGCCAAATATATACTCCAGGATATTGTCCTTTGAGTATGCTCAACACAATTATTTTAAGGTCTCGAAGATCACATTAAACTCTGAGAAACCTTTTGGTGACAGAACATAGGCTCCCCACACCCCAAACATTTGATGGGAAAAAGAGTAAAAGCACAGTAAGAATGCTAACTCAGCCAGTACCCAAAAAACCAAACCCATTGCTGACGAGTCGATTCTGACTTATGGCAACCCTATAGGACAGAGTAGAACTGCCCCGTTAGGGTTGCCAAGGCTGTAAATCTTTACAGAAGCAGACTGCCACATCTTTCTCCTGCAGAGCAGCTGGTGGGTTCTAACTGCTGACCTTCTGGCTAGCAGCTGAACGCTTAACCAAGTCAGCCAGTAGGAAGGACAATAATAAAAAGCAACTAGTATTGCCCAGTCTGTCCATTTGCAGGTGTGGACTGGATCCTATCTGCCAAAAGATAAGGGTGAATGACATGGAATTTCCACTCCCCCCAAATTATACAAAATCTATTTCAAAACTCTGCTGGTTCTTTTTCTTATATCCATGAGCTGAATGACTGATTTCCTCTTTCCTTCTCCAATAAGAATTATAATGCAGAAACTGTTTTGTGAAAGGGTTCTCAGCTTTGCCTAAGAATTTAATATAAACTATACCAGAATTTTGAGATAAAAAAGGGTTTGAAAAAAAATCTGCTCTTGATACTTAAAGCAAAAAGGCGTTTAGGTTTTTGTTTGAGGGAGGAAGAGTAGTGCATTTTGAAGGTTTATGCCAAGCAATTCTGGAATGGCAATCAGACCAAGAGCTGAAGCACTACTCCCAACTCCCTCCAACTGGCAGGAACCCTGCCCTGTAAGCCCAGCCTGCTCTGAGGCAGCTGCTTCCCTGAAGAGGGACATGCAAGCAAAGGACTGCCAAAGGATGATGAGACACAAGCCAACTTTACACCAGCCTTTCTAAGAAAAAACGCACCTTTAAACCTTGACTAATGTGAGAAGTGTCATACAGAAATGTCAATTCTCAATTAGCCTTATAAAGACTACTCATTGTGGCCAATCCACAAGATTAACAAACTACAGCAAATCAACTCCCCTACTCGCCCACCCTCAAGCACACCTGTCCTCTCTGCTCTGTCAGGGAATACAAGTACAAATATCAGACTGAGCAAAACAGAATCAGAGAGGTATGTTTGTAGAAGCATGTATGTATTGCTTTTTAAAGGGGGGTGGGGGGTGATGTCTTGTGTTTTATATAACCTCTTTCAGTAGGTCAGCAAAGTGGTTATCACCACTTCTCATAAATGTTCCAGTATGGAAAAACACACTCCTTTTTGCTGCATAGATAATGAAGCATTCCCAGTTGGGTCACCATACCTGGCCGCAAGGTGAAGAAGGAAGCAATGTTGGTCTGCTGAATGCCTGCAGGTGGAGTACTTCTTTGAGTAAAAGAAATCTTCGCCTTTTTCTCTCCTGGAAAGAGTGTTAGCATTTTGGTGCCTGGTTTGATTAGATGTGTCTGAGAAGGGAAAAAAAGAACAGAACCTACTGATAAAACAGCAGCCAGACAGGAGAGATTCAATAAGTACCTCTGACTCTCTTGGAACCATACTGGGCCCCCTAGACTCCACTCCTATCCTATCCTCTAGGTAGTTTGTGCTGGACATCATCTTCCACCATTTTCTGCCATACAGCAGTGTTTTTCTCAGGAATCCAACTATAGCCCCATCTTTTTGCCTCCCCATAGAAGTCAGTCAGACTGACTAAATTGGATTTGTTAAAGGGATTCCAGCTCTCTCCATCATATTTAAAGATAATTAATGATTCTAGACAAGCAGGAGTTGATGCATTTTGGATAGTTTTCAAATAGTCACACAGTGGTTAAGCCACACAGCTTGGGTTCAAATCAATCCCAATTCTGCCATTGCTACTTAGCTGTGTGAGCCTCTGCAAATTGTATAATCTCTCTGTGTCTCATTCTCACGTGTTAAATAGGACAATAATATTACCTATCCCACAGGGCGGAGCCCTGGTGGCACAGTGGTTAAGAACTCAGTGGCCAACCAAAAGGTCAGCAGTTGGAATCCACCAGCCACTCCTTGGAAACCCTGTGGGGCAGTTCAGCTCTGTCCTGTAGGGTCACTGTGAGTCAGAATGGACTCAAACTGCAGCAGGTTTTTTTTTTTTTTAATACCACAGGGCAGTAATGAGAATTTAGTGAATTCACATAAAAGGTTTACACAGTACCTGGCTAGTAAGATAGCATTCAATAAGAGGAGGTGCTATCAAACAGCACCAGTCTCATCACAACCCTCAGCTCAGGCCCCTTTATACTTTATGGTGTAGAACTGGAAGGTGGGTGGGAAAGGTGTGGGAAGTGGGTTTTGTCAACTAACTGTATAACCGCACCCTTATTTAGTGTGCTTTGTTTTTATTTCCATTTGTTATAGAATGCCTGATAGGTAGGGAGTCACTGTTGTTGTCAGTTGCCATTGAGTCAATTTCAACTCAATAACACCATGTGACAAAGTAGAACTGGCCCATGGGGTTTTCTTGGCTGGCACCTAACAACAACAACAATCTTTATGGATGCAGATTGCCAGTTCTTTCTTCGCTGGGTGGGTTCAAACTTCCAACCTTTTGGTTAGTAGCTAAGTGCTTAAACTGTTTGTGCCATCACGGCTCCTTAAGAAGTAAGGAGAGTAGGATTAAATTCAATTTATAAAATGAAAAGCTGTGACTATCGAAGAAATGGGATTTGCCATTATTAAGCAGTAAGTTAGAGCTAGGCCTGAAATGTGAACTCAAATTATTAATTCTAGCCCAAAGTTGACCTCATTTCATTTTTATATTTGGAAAGTAAGTTGCACATCAAATAGTTAGAAGAAATAAATCGTGGATGAAAAATTCATACACTTCAACTTGTAGTAGTACTGTACAGAATTTAACTTTCCACTGTGACCAACCGGAAAACTGAACAAGATATGTGAAACAACTTGTTTTAGATAGTGGACAACAGGCGGTACAGGACTTTGATGCCTGAGGGAAGGGAAACAAATGAAGTGAGCTCTGCAATCTTTCTAGCTTTCTGCCTGGAAGCACTTTCCAGACTGCAATGCATAAAGGAGGTACCTAGGCAGAGCACTACAGTCCTGATGAGTTAAGGAGATTGGATTGGAGGTTGGGAGCTGAGGCTGTTGAATTTGCAGGGGCAGAGAAAGACTTCCAGAAATCTTCACAGGGATCCCTTCAGTCCATGGCTGAATATTAAGCTACCTGAGTTAGGTGAAACTACATGAGGCCAGGTAAAAGAAATGCTGGGGAACTAACTGCAAGCTGAACAACTCCCAAAGCTCACACATGGCTGGGAGACATACAACTTCCCCCCGCTAGTAGAAGTAGAGAAACATCCTTGAACACCAGGGGCATTCAGTAAAGCTCTCACTCGTCAGTAGTACAGCTAAACTAACCCTAGAGCCAAAGGTATTCTAAGTCTGCCCTAACAAAGCTTTAAAAGCAAGCCTTGAAAGTATCAAGCTGATTAGCAAGCAACTACCTACCAAAATAAATTTCAATACTCTTAATAACAAAATGCAAACAACAATGTAGTATTCATAATGTCTACCATCCAGGAAAAAATCACCGCATATGAAAAACAGAAAAATACGGAGCGGCAGGGCCAAGATGGCAGACTAGTCAGATGCTTCCGGTGGTCCCTCTTGCAACAAAGACCCAAAAAAACAAGTGAATTGATTATATTGACAATCTAGGAGCCCTGAACATCAAAGCCAAAGTTAAGAAATTGGACTGAGTGGCAGGGGGAGGGAGAGATGGTTCACAAGCAGTGAGGAGTTGCCAGACCTGACCCAGTGGGGGCTGGTGTCCTGTGGGCCAGAATGGCTGGCACACACGGTGAGGCAAGCAGTGGTGTTGGGGCCACATTTTCCATGTCAGGACAGACCGAGCAGTGGAGAGTCTGTTCAGGCCTCCAGAGCCAGTGAAAAGCAACACTCATTCAGCAAAAGATAAGTACATACATTTAAACTACCACACAGATCAGAAAACACCCCGTTTGGAAAGAACCTCTCTCCCATTTACCTGCTCCCTCCTCGCTCTGCACCGGGTCTGGGCAGGCTTCAGCGATTGCTAATTGCCACGTCCCCTGGGCTGGAAGTAGGACCCGTCATGCACCCTGAGCCACTCTCCCGGCCTTGGAGAGGGAACAAATTAACAAACAGGAAAAAATAATCTTCCAGCTCCCCTAAGCCGGAGGCTCAGGGCAGGCAAAGCTCCTTTGCCTAGAAACAGGCGTAAGGGGTCCACGGACTCTGAATGCCTTTCACCCCTGCATAGACCTGTGTGGGCCCATTTGAACAGCATAGGTCCTCATTATCACAAAACAACAGGGTACATACCTAAAGCCTAACTTCACTGTATCAGCTATCTGGTGGAGTGGCAGGTTTGTGATACTTGATGCCACTCTACCCATTGAAGAAGGTCCTCACCTACCCACATCAGGGGCCTGAGAACTGGTGGCTCCACCCACACCACCTAGCAACCTGCGACAGGGGTCAAAGAATAAGTGGTGCCTCCCAGTCCTTAGAGCCAACACTGGGTACCCGTAGTTTAGCTGCAAAACCCACCCACCTATGCACTCTAGGGAACAGGGACACACCTTCCTCCCAGACACTCGGGTAGCCATCAGCCCCCTGCCTTGCTCAGTGCATGACCTCTACTGCAGCCAGATACCTGTGCCTACTCCGATCACCCCTGCCCATCTAGGACTGTAGGTGAGGGCCTGCACTACACACTTGGTGACCGACTATCTGGACACCTAAGCTGAATCCATATAAGAAAAGTAAATGGACTCCTGGGCTTACATACCTAGTAACAGATCTAACCACTTGGTGACAGGACATTAGAGCTTCAAAGTTGCCAATAATCAAACTAGCTCACACGAGCAGCCTATCTGAGCATGTCAAAACAAGAAGCTAGGTCACAGTATGCAAATGTAAAATAAATATAATAACTGATAGCTTGGAGACAACAGTCAATATCAAATCACATAAAGAGGCAGACCATGATGGCTTCAGCAAGCTCCCAAAACAATCAAGAAATTTTCTGGAGAAAAAGAACTTCTTGGAATTACTGGAGGTAGAATACAAAAGATTAATATACAGAACCCTTCAAGAGATCAGAAAGGAGATCAAGCAAGCTGCAGAACAAGCCAAGGAACACACAGACAAAGCAATAGAGGAACTTAAGAAGATTATAGAAGAGCACAATGACAAATTTAACAGGCTGCAAGAATCCACAGAGACAGTAAACAGAAATCCAGAAGATTAACAATAAAATTTCAAAATTAGACAACAGAAAGTCATATGAGCAGAAGTGAGGCAATGAAGTCAGAATTAGTGAGATTGAAGATAAAGCACTTGACACCAACTTATTTGAGGAATAATCAGATAAAAGGATTTTAAAAAATGAAGAAACCCTAAGAATTATGTGGGACTGTATCAACAGGAATAACTTACGAGTGATTAGAGTACCAGAACGAGGGGGAAATAACAGAAAATACAGAGAGAATTGTTGAAGATTTGTTGGCAGAAAACTTTCCAGATATCGTGGAAGATGAGAAGATATCTATCCAAGATGCTCACTGAACCCCACACAAGGTAGATCCCAAAAGAAAGTCACCAAGACATATTATAATCAAACTTGCCAAAATTAAAGGAGAGAATTTTAAGAGTGGCTAGGGATAAACAAAAAATCATCTACAAAGGAGAGTCAATAAGACTACGCTCTGACTACTCAGCAGAAACCATGCAGGCAAGAAGGCAATGGGATGACACATATAAAACCTTGAAGGAAAAAGCTGCCAGCCAAGAATTATATATCCAGCAAAACTGTCTCTCAAATATGATGGCAAAATAGGGGCATTTCCAGATAAACAAGTTTAGGGAATTTGTAAAAACCGAACCAAAATTGCATGAAATACTAAAGGAAGTCCTCCAGTTACAAAATCAATAACATCAGATAACAATGCAAGACTAGAACAGGACAGAGCAACCAGATATCAGCCTAGATAGGGAAGTCACAAAAATAAATCAGAGCTGAAAATAGGGAAACAGAGATGTCAATGTGTAAAACATGACATTAAAACAAAAAAGAGGGACTAAAAAATGTAGTCATAGATCTTTCATATAGCGAGGAAGTCAAGGCAATATAAAGAAATAAAAGATTGGTTTAAACTTACAATAATAGGGGTAAATATTAGGGTAACCACAAAGGAAACTAACAATCCTACACATCAAACTAAAAAACAAGAAAAACATAAAGACTCAGCAAATACAAAATCAACAACAATGAAAAACATGAAAACACATATAAAGAAAACCGACTGAGCACAGAAATTCAAGGTGAACAAAGAAATTAGTAACAACACATACAAAAAAAAGACATTAAAATGAGACAGCACTAAACACATACCTATCAATAATTATGCTAAATATAAGTGGA